TAATCAATCAATCAATCCATAATCTGAAATCAGACCTTTAGAAAGCAGACGTCATTGTCTTGCATCATCTCCTCCGTGTCTTTGATTGTGTGTGAAAGAGCTGAGATGTGTCTGTTGATCTCCTCCAGCTTTTCCTTCATCATCTGCTTCTTCTGCTCCTCTTCCTCCCTCAGTGCAGTGATTGCAGCTTCTTCTTCATCTCTGAGAAACTGATGAAACTTCTCAAACTGCTGTTTAATCTGACGCTCTGTGTGCTCATCTTGAGACTGAAATCAAATCACATTCACTTCAATCATCTCAATCAACACACCTCACATCATTTACACAAACGTTTTGTTTTTTACCTTAAAGAAATACGATTTTCACTGAACATATTTGAGTTGCTATAGACTTCCATTGGTATTATTTCATAGGTTTGATGACTACTCTTATTTTACTGTGTAGATAACAGTAATTTCTTGCATTTCTTCTGTACTGGGGTGTAAGGCTGCAGAACCTCAAAGACTTGAGATGGACAATCCAAACAGTGAATTAGCATACAGATATTTGTCTTGTAAAGGGTTGCAAAAAGGTAGACAATTTCCAGTAAATTTCTGAAACATTCCAGAAATTTTGGAAACTTTCCAGGGTTTTTATTTTGGAATCTTCCAAAATCAGTGCAGTGCATTTTTGGAAGGTTTCCGGAAATTTACCAGAAATGTTCCACCTTCCCTTTCACTTGTTTCACTCAGAATGGTTACATGTAGAATACAATGTTCTGTGTGAATGCAAAAGATTTTCACATTTGTGACCCTGGAGCACAAAACCAGTCTTAAGTCACTGGGGTATATTGTAGCAATAGCCAAAAAAAAAAGATTCCCTCAGATTCCAGATATTCAAATAGTTGTATCTCAGCAAAATTATCCTATCCTAACAAAAAAAAATTGACCCTTATGACTGGTTTTGTTGTCCATGGTCACATTTATGTATGGCATCATTTTAAATGTCTCAATCTTCTCATCCCACAGTAGTAAGCTAAAAGGTAATAAAGAGTTAAGAGTTTAGGAATACTGAAGCAGCTGTAGTGGGTGTGCTCTTTCCCAGGGTATTCAACCAAATTACCTCCTGTTTCAAAGTAAGATATAAACTTCCAAAGTCTAGGATCCTGTTCAGTGCCAAATCCAATAATAGTTGTATCTCAGCCAAATATTATCCTATCCTAACAAAAAAAAAATTGACCCTTATGACTGGTTTTGTTGTCCATGGTCACATTTATGTATGGCATCATTTTAAATGTCTCAATCCACAGTAGTAAGCTAAAAGGTAATAAAGAGTTAAGAGTTTAGGAATACTGAAGCAGCTGTAGTGGGTGTGCTCTTTCCCAGGGTATTCAACCAAATTACCTCCTGTTTCAAAGTAAGATATAAACTTCCAAAGTCTAGGATCCTGTTCAGTGCCAAATCCAATTGTTAGTTCATGTCTCAATTTGGAGAATGTTTTGTCTTGGCCTGGGTATTTAAGAAAATGTGCAAAAGGCTCAGGGTCTTTCTGCAACCATATGAGCCTGTAGTATTGAGTGTATCACACACATTCAGCACTATGTATTTTCTAATGTTAGGTGTGCATCTTCTCATACTAGATTTAATTTAGATTTTTTTTTTTTAGGAGTCCAAGCACTCAAGAACAGCAACTGTGTGTTATAGAAAACAGTTCATTCTTTTTTTTCCCTGGATACATTGCCTTAAACAGTGACAAAAGTAAAAATCTAACTCTTCTAAGCAGGGCCGTTTCTAGCCAATTTGACGGCCTAGGCGAAACCCCTAAAAAAAATTTTTTGTTGTGGTTTCTTGAAACATTGATTTAAAGTGTCAGTTATTATTATTATTATTTCAGTCAAACCTATAAAACCCCTTTGTTACCCCAAACTACATCTCATCTCCTTGTTATTTTCTGATTATTTAAGCCTCGTGTCTTTCCATTTCCGGCATCTGGTGTTATTCGTCCGTGTGCTATGTGTGTGTGTCTGCCTGCCCTGTGTTTCCCCGAATTAGAAGATTAAAGGTGCAATAGGTGATTGTCTTCAGAAAATTTTTTTGTTATGCTGGTTGAAAGTCTCTTCACTTCCCGATAGCAATCATTAAGTTAAGTGGTCTAAATGTATTTGTCTGTATTTATATATTCTG